GGGTGTTTCCTGACTCATTTCTAGTATTGGATTAAATCTGAAGGGGCAAATCTGCTTCTGGATCAATGGGACTTAGGTTTTGGATTTGTTTAAACCTTTTCTTCATTATTTATTTTTAGCGATTCATCTTAAATGTTATTCGCAGAAGATGGTGGCTTTATAAATTGGATTCTAGTTTTGATAATATTAAATTTATCTTTGTATCAGGACTTTTCTAATGAAATTTCTATTTTCTGAATTGGATACTAAAATTGGGTGTTAATCTTGCTGTGTGGTGAATCAGGCAACTCTTGGTCTGGGCTCATCGACAGAGAGGAGCATAGTTCAGTGCTCTATTGGACATAAGAGTCCAATCTTTCTATGCTCTTTGTTACCAAATAAGGATGAATCATGTCCCTTGAATCTTGAATTTGATGATGATGATTTGGTAGCCTTTTCTGTGATTGGCCCAAGAAGTGTCTATCTCTCGGGTTACTTCGAGGCAATTGAGGGAGATGGCATCAGAGATGACTATGAATCGTATCCTTTTTGTTTAATTTCTGAAGTTTGAATTCTTTCATTATGTTAATCTCCCCCAATTTAGTTGTGAGTTGTTTCTGTCAGTCAATTTCTCTTTCATCATAGTAAAGCGATTCATATGAAGAGGATATTGCTGAGACAGAGTCGGGGTCATCTGATTATGGTTCCGATTATGGTTCCGGTGATGAATATGATGATGAATTCGATGATGACGGCGATGACGATTTTGTCATGTTTCCTCCTTCACCTGTCCGGAACAGTGGAGGTAATTAACATATTGGATATCTTTTTTGAACTCGGAATAAGTCCTGAGACTCTCTTTTCTTGTAATGTTACTCACGGTGTCTTTTGTCAATGGAGGCTCATGCGCTTATTACTTGGATAGCTTAGTATGTTTGTTGTTAATTTGCAAGGAATTATTAGGTGATAAGAAAAGGAAATTAAATTAAGTTTATTTCTTCGGTAGAGGAAAATTCTTGTGAACACTTGGTTTAGCCTAGTATGATGTCCTTGCGATTTGCCAACTTTTTGGTGGAAAGGGTTTAATAAATCCATTGGCAGATAGTTACTGGATAGCAATATTCTGTTTCACTGGGGAAATATGGTTTATCTATTAAATTTTAACGTTTTATTTTTAATGTTTAAATCTTAGTTGTAATTGAGGAGATAGTGGATGACGAGAAGCCTACAAACGGAAATGGTCAATCTAAACGGCAAAAGAAGAAGAATCAAGCAAATAGCTCTGAGGACAAGAAAAACTCTCAAAATCAAATCGTTGTTAGGGGAGAGACTGCCATTCCTGTTCTGGAAAGTGAAGATGAAGATGGTTTTCCAATTTCCACCAACCATGAGAGCAAATCAAATTTTAAGAACCCTGAGGCAGAGGCCAAATCTACAGATGACAAAAAAGAGAAAACCAAGAAGAAGAAAGCACAAGATGGTGATGATGGTAATAACTTGAAAAGGAAAGTTGAAAGTATTGACCAGGAGGGTCATCCTGAAAAGTAAGTTTGTTGTGTCATTATCTGTAATCGATGATTATTTTTCTAATTGTACAATTTTTTGATTATTTTCTTCTGGTATTCCGTCATTGCAGACACACTTTTACCCATTTTTGCTTGTTAAACATTTCCTCAGTATTTTGGCCTGTAAGATGGGCAGCTCAGAAAGACGTGCAATTATTATTTCTTGTTATCTGTTTGTACTTTGTGAACTTAGGAGTCTGCTCAATGTTCATCTCATTTGGATAGCTTTAATAAAATTGGTTCTGAAAATGGTCCAGGGAAAAGAAGAAAAAGAAGAAGAAGCAGCTAAAGGGACAGGTTAGGGATGAGAACTCTGATGAAGAGCAGCCAGAGGAGTTGAAGAGCTACAACTTGAATCAGGCCTCAATGAAGACGGATGAGCATGAAGAAAAGCTCGCTAGTGAGAAGTGAGTATCACATTGCTATTGTTGCACCGAGCATGTCAATTTGACATGTTCTTTCATTGCGATTGGGATAGAGATTTGCACAGCCCTTTAATATGTTGAAATCACCCAGTGGGTTTGAATGGAAGCACTAGGTTGACGAGAAACTCTGCCTGCCTGTGTGGATTTGTTTTTAATAAGCTCAAATTCATCTTATTAATGAGTATGAATTCTAATTGTAATATAGAGCATCCATGTTACATGGCCCTCTTGATTATTTTCTGATCTAAAATGCTCATGTGTAGTTAGTTGTGTCCCCATTGCTGCTAGACATCAAATAATTGGGATCCATCAGGGAGTCAGCTTATTTTTTTGTTTGCTAATACTATTCTTACATGCAAAAATAACGCTTGGCCTTTTCTTGCATCAATCTCTTAAAGCAATTTCTTGTATGCACACACAGAATCCTTGACGGTGAAATGCGTCAAGTTCCCAGTGAAACTCAACCAGAGGAGAAAAAGAAGAAGAAAAAGAAAAATCAGAAGAAGAACCAAGACATTAAAGAGGGGACCACTGCGGATCAGACTGTTACAGCTCAGGAAGATAAAAACAGATCCACTTCGGACTCGGAGCAGAAGCAAACTGATGCAAAGTCATCCAAAGTGAGAACCTTTTCCAATGGATTGGTTATCGAGGAACTAGCAATGGGAAAACCAGATGGTGAAAGAGCTTCTCCAGGAAAACAAGTAAGTTTCAAGGTTGATGATGTCTTACCCATGGGGTGCTGGTTGGAATGGTCAGGCCTTTGGTCTGCTCGCACAAGGTCTGCCATTCGAACCACCTCGCTGGCACCTACATGACAAAATCATAGTTTGTTGCCTTCCAAAGATTGTAGGGTTTGGTGGAAGGCTTTGGTTTCCAATCCGGCCTCACAAATGTGTTTGTGGATTGCTGGACATCAAAAGAAAAAAAAAAGGAAAAAAAAAGAGATGATTTCTTAGTAAAGTTTCTGACCAAAACGAATTGGATTCAATTAGCTTCAACAGTTAGAGCCATGTGAAAAGCTTTGCGTTTATAGTTAAGCATTCATTCAAAAGAAAAATCGCTTATTTGATTTCAGGTCAGTGTCCGCTACATTGGCAAGCTACGAAAGAATGGAAAGATATTCGATTCAAATGTGGGAAGAGCACCATTTAAATTTCGCCTAGGTATGATTATCTTTAAACGACAGATCAAAAATACCTGCTTTATTATTTGTGTTAAAATTTTTCTTCGGTTTTTACAGGTGTAGGACAAGTTATAAAAGGGTGGGATATTGGTGTTAATGGTAAATACTTCGATCTAAATTTCACTTTGTTATTTGTCCATTTCTCAACAAAGCAGTTTTTACGCAATTTTGTGCAATTTCTCAGGTATGCGTGTTGGGGACAAGAGACGACTTACTATTCCACCAGCAATGGGGTATGCATTTCTCATAATTTCTTCTTTATGAGACCTTCAAATCAACTGCATTGTTGCGGAAATGAGATTTACTTATTTTTTTTCTTCCCTAAGTTTGTCTCAATCCAATTTCTTATGCAGTTATGGAAGTAAGGGTGCGGGTGGTAAAATTCCTCCAAATTCGTGGCTCATATTTGATGTTGAATTGATTAATGTTCGTTGATTCTCCTGGAATTGAAGAAAGTTTTGTCTGACAATAGATTAAAAAAAAAAAATTTGTTAGAAACATCTGCAAGACAATTCCAGAGTGGGTTTGAGGCCTGTAACAATTTTGTCGTGATTGTGGAAAGTTCTGTTTTAAGGATTTGGACCTTTTGACGTTTATTGCTCGTGTAAAAGTCCGACCTGAAAGCTGGTGGAATTTTGGTTGAGTTCATTAAGATCAAGAACAAGAACCACCATAATTTGTTTACTTTCAGTACCACCACAATTTGAATTCCTGGTAGTCAAAAATTGGAAGTCTTTTTTTTTTTTTTTTTGAAAATGAAAAGAGATTTCGTCCCAAGGAAAGGAAATTTATCAAGGCACTAGTTTAATGGGATTAGATTTGTTATAGATGTGGTAGCAACTGAATACAAAATGACTAAAAACACCTTAATGAGCATCATTATCTCATCAGCAAATTTTGTTAATTTGCTCCCAAATGATCTTCTTGTCATTAACTCATTTTACACCTCTAATTAGTGAAATGTGAAAACTTGAATGTGCATCTTCCACAAATTACACGAAAATAGAATGTATTGAAACGTAACTTCTTCTAACACTCATCGACAGTGAGAAATCCATACTATAAAATATCATTGGCATAAAAATGAATTATTGACATGAAGATAATAATGTGACTAAAAACTCTTCCTTTTTTTTTTTTTTGGTAGAAACAAAGTGAATAAATACAGAATCCAGAACATCATCAACATGTTGCAAAGAAATATAACACAACATAAAAACGTAGGGATTTGAAAATTAATTTCCGACATCTGCTAAGCAAAAAAGTCTACGATTCACCATCTATTAACACAAAATACAACAAAACTTGATTAAGAAAAAATGAAAAGAAAAGAAAAGCTTAATGGCATCTCCTCCGAAATCACTGGAAAATACAGATCATAAGCATTTCTTTTCTCAATTAACATCGTTTGAATTGGACCGAGATTCAAATCCAAGGTTGCTGTGGAGCGTTGGCGTGATATTTAACACAAAATAAAGTTAGCAGAAATAACATATTCAACAAACCCCTTTGAAAATTGCAATGACGTATTTGATTCATTTCAACAATATGTGGATCAATAGTTCCACTCCATATAGGGTTATATAATCGTAATCAAGACGAACTTCATAACATAATCACAACAACTAATAATATTCCTATGAACCATCAAGAAGAAGAAGAAGAAGAAGAAGAAGAAGAAGAAGAAGAAGAAGAAGAAGAAGAAGAAGAAGAAGAAGAAGACAAAAGCATTCAATCAATCGTATGTAAAATGAAGATTACATGCTATGAACAGAGAACATTCCATGACAAGTGAAAATCCATACAAAACAACAACAACAATAGCCAACGCTGCTAGATCTCGCT